ACGATGAATAAGGTCATATTCATGCTGGCGGGTAGAGCTGCTCCTGATCGCAAGTTTCCGAGTCTCCGAGTGAGCCTGATGGTATGAGGATTGACGCTGGTGTCTGTGGTGAGGTCGCCACGAATGTTCGCGCGAAACGAATTTAATATTCGTGTTAAAATGGGCTGGGTATCTTAGGGACAAACTTCTAGGCAAATTTTGAGATTTCGATCCAGGTTTCAAAAAATGATGCATGTGGTAAAAAGTACCACATTGTCAGTTCAGGACGTCTCTACGATAACCTGGGCAATATACGCCAATGGTGGGATAATGTGACCATTGCGAAGTTCGAGAAGAAGGTAGGTTCTCACAAAAAAGATTTCAGTAATATCTGTCCACACAGCGGATCTCTTTGGAAGTACTTTAGGCGGAGTGCATCGAGAAGCAGTATTCGGATTACATGCTGGAGCAGATCGCGATGAAAATCAACGGCAGAAGCACGAAGGGAGAGAACATCGCAGACAATGGCGGACTTAAACAGGCCTATAAGTGAGTTTGTGTTGTGTGGCGTTTTCGGATCGGAGCACTCTTTAGAGGTAAAAAAGCAGGGTCTTATGATCTTTCAAGCTATCGCAGAACAGATCACATATGTGAATATTTGTTTTTGACGGTTTGAAATCTAAGTAAGGGTGAGGAGGTGAGGTGGGGCTTACGTGCCGCCCTACAGAGCTGTTTTGCCAGCACCATCACCTCTAAAGGCACCCCCCCCGCCTTAGCAACTACCCGAATCACAGAGTAGTGGTAGAATCCTTCTATTATGCAGTGTGGACAAAGGTAAAGACAATCATAAATATTTGCCGCATTAGCCGCGGAAAGACGGGCGCTGCGCATCCCATTAAGTTTGAATTGGGGGGGAGCACCTGATACTAAAAAGCGCCGGATTTTACTCATACTTCGATATCGTAGTAATTTATGGCTATTTTTAATTATATATCGTCTAATGTCGCCATATACGGCCTAGTAACGTCGTCGTTCGCGGTGCGCCGTCGAACCACAGGCGGAATAATAGTCTTGTCACATACCCGGTTGTGCTCCTTGATGGTATCTGACGATTCATTTGGCCCTAGCAGCCCTACCCCATCACCCATACAGCGGTGAAAGACATTACGTTCACGTCTATGTGGGACAGTCTGCCTGCACACCGACAGATGTGATAGCAGGCCGACCGTGCGTTCGCTATCGCATCTGTCCGTTTGGCTTTCTGTTTTCTCTTCATTTGTCTTTGGTCTCTCTCCCGCGCTCGTGGTCTCTCCTTTCCTCTCGTCCAGTCCTTAAAATTAGCTGAAAAAGGTAAAGTCCCAGTCTCTTACTGGTCGAATGTGTTCGACCATTCGGTCAGCATTAACTAACAATTCAGTCAGCATCTATAAGTTCATCGTCGAATCCCACTACCGACAACCCCGCAGCCACCAAATCTATTTTCTATAGCACCGTAAGAACTGGCACTGGCAAAAAGCGTCACTCACTTCCGCGGCTGCAGAGTAGGAATAAAAAATGAATAGGCACTATTCAACTATTACAACCCCGCAATCTCAAATGAATTGCTGCTCAGACTTTTCTGAAGGGGTTATTAAGTGCCGTGATCACAAAAATAGCATTCCTTCTGGGCGCCAGCACCAATTGGCGTCAGGACGTTCCTCAAAACAATCGCTATAATTTTTCACACGTGTATTGTTTGATATTTCGATGACGAAAATAGCATTCGTGATCAGGCCGGCGCCAAACGCCTAAGAGTTCCTCACCAAAATCGGTTTAACCTTGCATATCAATGTTATCTGGCACCCTGGTTATGAATATGACATTCATTTTTAGCGTACTCGGACACCACCGACGACTCAGCGGCCTGCGACTGGCCGGCGAGCTATTCCCAGCTAAAATTTCGTTGACACATATGCATCTGTACTATGGCATAAACGGCTGATGGTCCTGTCTGTCTGTGATGTTCATGTTTCCCTGTGTCTGTGGGATAACTAGTATTAATGGGAGGAGCGCGGCCAAGGGCCGGAATTTGGTTAGGGCATGGCCGGCAGGATGTACATTAGGGAATCGAGGCCCCCACCCAGATGGGCGGGCTTTGTCCCTGGCCAGGAGTAGTTTTATTATAAACATTCGTCGTTGGTTCTGGAGGAGCGGGGAAGCGGAAATAAAAAGTGGGAGCATGAGGTAGGCCAACAGTTTGTTGATGAGACGAGATAGCACTACCGAAACCTGGCGTGGAGTGCTACAAATGCAACCTTGCAGCATAGAAAAAAATCAAAAATTCGTGAATTCGGGTTCCAAACGAGCTAAGAGAAGGGAAACGATAGGCAGTCAATTGCCTGAGGGGAACGATAATCAGTGAGTTAGCTGACGAAATGAGGAAGACACATACAGGATGGGCAAGAAGGGGCGGGCAATGAAAGGGTAGAAACTGGAAATTAGAAAAAATTTAGGTTATGTGGCCCCTGGCCTTCTTTGTCGATTCAGCGAAGCCGAAGCTGGTCGATCCAAGTGATCTTTTTCGAAAATGTGTGGGGGAAGTCTTGCTTTCGAAAATATGTGGGGACCACCCACTACATATTTTTGAAAGCAAGACAAAGTGGAAGAAGATGAACTGAACACTTTGGAGCGGACTCAACTTACAGAATTTCTCACCATCACAGAAGTGGAACCCACCGGGACTTTCTCAATAATAAACTTTGCCTCATCGAATTTATTTGGTTCTGTCCTTCCTTCCTTCCTTCCTTCCTTAGCGACTTTCTTTATTTTGCGTTTGGTGAGAACGCCCGTGTGAATTTTCACAATAGCGTTTCCCTTTCCTTGCACTTGTTCAATGGCATTTGTATGCAATTATATGAAATCATAGGGGCTTGAAAAAAAATTGAAGCCGTTTTTCTTTTTGCTCTGACGCATGTATTGCCGTAGCACGTGTTCCACTCCTAAAAGTCGGATGTTTTCTACAAGATTCCATTCAGCCGCATTTTGCCGGAAGGGAACAAAACGCGAAATAATTAGGTCAAAAAATAAATTTTCATGCAATTTGAGTGGAATCCGAGGCGTTGTTTTCTCTGTCATTCGTATGAGCTTTGTAGGAGAGTCAAGCGCGAAGTACAAGAGGATTACGTTAGTTGGCTTAAACATGTTGGGAATCCAGGGCTTGCGCTGCTTGTAAGCGGCCCTCTGCAGGCTTTGCACTACGCTCCTCCAATCCATGGAATTTCGGTTGAATACTGGGGTTGGCCTCTCAAGACACGTACTACTCGTAATCTAGTCTGATAATCCAGTGGAGTCCGTGTATGAAGTTTCGTAGGTAATGATTGACATAATGTTGTGTAAAAAGTTGTTAAGAAGGCCGGTAACGCTGTATGAGACTCTTAGTTTTGTAATGGCTTCTAGCATTGGTTGTGGAAGGAAAGTGCGAAACTCCGGGAACAAAGGATCAGGAACAAGAAAGACGAGTCAGAGAAGCACACAGATAGGATGTATCGGTCCCACGTCAAAATGAGCGCACTGCCGTTTGTGCTTGCCTGGCAGTGGGAGAATAGAGTGGCGATTACGGTCTCAACACGCCAACTGTCAGCCTCGTTTCAAGATAGTGTAGCTAAACTGCTGACGCGAAACCTCTTCCCACGCAGTGAAACTTTGTAAGAGGTCTTGGGAAGCTCCCTATTTTAAATTCTCATCGAGATTCGGCCATGGACGGGCACATATAGAGGTGTCGCCGAACAAAAGCCATTTCCCGTAGGCTCGGCACGGTTTTCTTGCTCTCGATGCTGCGGTGAATTGGCTAATAGCGCTGTTCCCCCATAGTCTGCGCTGCTGGATTTCGGCAACAGGAACATGTATAACGAAAGTTCTAAGCAGTAACCTACTTGTTCGTATAACTTTTCCCCACCCTTTTGCCTTTGGTGCCTCACCCGCACTCGTAGTCACTCTCTTCATCTCTCTCACTTGCTCTGGTCCATGCTTGGAATAGACTGGAAAAGGAGGGGACTTTTCCTGGGTTTAGACGGTTCAACCAGCATTCTCACTGGTTATTCAGTCAGCATCTACAAATTCATATTCGGATGCCACTACCGACGACCCTAGACGATTAGGGAGAAGAAAGGCGAGTATTGCGACGGGTATAGATATGATGGCGGTCCAACGCAGATGTGAACACAATGTCGTTCATCTTCGGGTGTGGTCGCAAATGGGCTAGCAGGTCTCACCGCCTTCGTCAGCCTCTTTCAAAGGTGTGGTACAACCTCTGCAAATGCCGACCTGGATCGTTACTGTCAGATAGTTTCGGAATGTGTACACAAGCTACAGTGAAACCCCATATCATGCCGTATAAGATGTAGAGGTAACCTAGGATGTTTCCTATTTTAACTCTCATGGAAAACATGAAGCCGTAAAAGTCAGTCCACTACATTCCAGACTACTACTGCTCAATTATTCCAGGAATGTATCCTCGCGTAAACAATTACAATTGACAGCAACATCAAGAAAGGCTACAAAAAATGGTCTACTGATTGTAAACGTAGTTTCCTAGAGTGCAGCCCCTATTTGATTTGCATTATGCTTTTAAATCAAGTGAAACACGCCAGTCATGCTTTTCTGCAGAAGTGTCATAACCATGCTTTATATGAGCAGTTAGCATTTTCCAGAGAAGGAAGAAAACATAGGAGGGTTACTGCACAAAATGACAACGAGGACATCATTTTCGATTCCAAAAATCCAGAAATGTAGGTCGATCAGGGACCATCAGTGGAGTCTAAAGCAGGAAGAAAGTAAACAATACAACGTTTTCGGCATAAAAAAATTGCTTCCATTCCGAATATCTTGCCAAGAACTGTCCAATATGTTGTTGAATTTGAACTGGTAAAGTTGCATTGCTATAGTATCCTTGAGGGCAGACCCGTACCGGAGCCGTAATGAAGAACCGGGCGACAGTGCAATAGCATCTACTGCTCACCTACGAAATTATGGAAGATAGCCAGTGTAATCCTGCTGTCTCTCCCCAGTTGAAAAAATTGGCTTAAGGACCTTGTTCCAGCTTCACAAGAGTTCACAGGTCTCGCCAGAGTGAGACATGTAAACTGCGGAATGACCCCGTCGACATACTGCGCCACCCTAAACAGTTGTTCCATTGTGACACCGTAAGAAATACTACGACACATTCACATCCAGAGAAGAGATAAATGAAGCCATCCGCTTCCTGATCTGATTCTAATTTGCGGTAAAATGAGAGGTTTTAAATCTCAAGTTGTAGGTGACGCAAATGAACTCCCGAGAACAGAGAGAAGACTGGCTATTTGTGAAACGAGAGAAGTTCAGTTGTTGTAGAATTGAGGACTGCTCCGAGATTGTGACCGAGTGATATTTTTCTGAGTTCAACTTCTAAAACCTGAATGATCCTGTTCTTCTTCTTCTTTTCCTTTTGACGTTAGTCTGTTCTGCTTCTTCTGATTGTCATATTCCTACCAAGGCGAGCTCCTTGACTCAGTGTGAATGAGAACTGTTCTGAGAGGGAGGAACCTCTTAAGCACATCGCTCTATCCCTTTTTCCAAACTCCTAACAGTCGGTTGCCCAGGATCCATTGCCCCTTTTCTCGGATATTCTCTCGCTTCTAATGCTGTCAACTGCATGACCGTCCTGACGTTCTCGTTTCAGGTTTTGTCTTTTCGCGTCAGCCATTGGCCTCAACATCCTAATTTCAGCACACAGACCATGGTTCTCGAATACTGCCTATGAATATCGTGGAAGATTCTTTGCTAACTCTTGCTCTAGTATTTTGGGGAAGAGTACACCTTTAACCTCTATCCATTCAGTGCATGTAATAATTGACCGAACAATATTGCATGGCTCCGACGGTCATCGACAGGCTAGATTCGCTAATCATGTACCTAAGGCCTTCTTCCTCTTCGAAGGTTTTCGCCATGGCATCTACGATCGGTATAATAAACTTTCTGGAGCTCCAGATTTCGTACTCCTTCACCTTCAGCCAGAAACTACTCCCGGCCCACGAACTATAGCACGTTTGTGAAAGCTGCATTCTATGAGTGCGACAAGATTTCCTTCCTCTGGCTCTATAAGAACCCCTTGCTTTCCAAGAATTAGTTCACCGATGTGTAAACTTGAGATTTATGACTTATTGGCTGTTCTCAACGGAGCATACACTCCTTTTTATTTTAGAGCTTACAAGAAATATCAACAATCCCATCGGCATCCACCACGATTGCCTGGAGTGAATCTCACACACGATCAACTATTTTTCCTCAACTATGCCCAGGTGAGTGCTTTTTTCAGGGAGGTTTCTCCCTTTTTGAAGAGTCCGTCCTTTTCCATTGAGTGCGACTTCCAACACCCCAACTAGATTTCATTTCACTCAAGATATGGTGTGGTACGATGAATGACAAGGAAGCGGTGCGGAAGTTGCGGACGTCGGAGCACTCACCGGGACCGATCAGGTAAGGAACGAAATCATAAGTGGAGTTATATTCAGGGTTACGGTGACTGATTTCACCACTGACTGGCGCAGTTCGGCTTGGTGGGGGCATATGCTCGTCCCCAGTGATGGCTACCGATGCCTCCTTCGGACCTGCGAATTCCTGTAAAACTATGCAATAGCAGGAATTTATTTAGAGTTTACAGGTCTCATCTAGGCGTGACACGTAATTTAGCGGGAACTAGCAAACGAAATGTCCCTCCCTAGCCGAATGCCCTTCCTGCTTGAAGCTTATTCTGGCACCATGGATGTAGTAATGCATGCAAATGCGATTCTGAACAGGATTCCTCTTAGTCCTGGAATTTCCATCATCTCATTCCCCACCTTTCCAGAATGTGTGGATGCTATTATTGCCTAATGAGCTTCACAGCCAGGATTTCACATGAAATGGAATAGAATAAGGTTATCGTCTGTTTTCCAGGGTGAAAGGTCCGTTGTCGAACAGTTTGGACTTCGCCAACGCCTTCAATTGTCCAGTCGGATCACGTGAAATGCCGATCACAAGTGTAGGGTTCGGTAGAAGAAGTGTAGAATCCATCGTTACTTGTCGACTCAGTCGTCTATTCCAACCTAGCTGGTGTTGGCCATCAATAATGGCTATTTTATATAACTGAGATTTCACTGTGAGAGAAGACATGTTTGGCAAGCCCTCTCGTACTGCGGCTGGCAGAGTTGTGTGCTCTTAAAACTAATGTGGTTTCGGCAGTAACTGGATCACTCTTTGCGTTTTTACTGCTAAACTGAGTGGGGGCGTAAGGAGACAAAAATGGATGGGTTGTGGACAACTTCGAATGAATTGAGTTGAAGCTTCGTTTCACACTGCCTAGTTGAATGAGAAGCTCAGTTTCTTCTAGAAGATCCACACCAAAGGCGAGGGAATCAGCAGGGCCCATCCAAGCGTCACCTTTGCTTCATTCGTAAAGCTATCGCATGGGTTCCCGATTCCGTCTCTCCTCATGAAACTCAGTGTCCCCTGTGCGGCTCAAGAGAGCACATTCACTGTCTGAGGTCGGAACTTCCTCCTGAATTGCTTGAACCAGTTCTTAGTAGTACTAAGAGGCGCTAGTCTATTTGTTCATACACTCCACCAAATAGGAGCTACCTAAATTTGGCGCACTGTTAAAACTAAAGAAGCTCCTTTGTGCCACTCGTGTGCTTCGACACTACACTTCAATACCACGAAACACAAACAAAAAATAAAAAGAACGTGTAAAATCGAGCGTGCCGCTTGACTGAGCATGAGCAGGGCGTCAGATAAACATTTTATATTCCACACGAAATTTTGGAAATCAAAATATGCCATAATTTACGGGTCAACCTGATAGATCTGAGATCATCATCATTCGTGCAAAGTTGTTTCATTCGTTCCTTCTCTCCCCTCGTTTGTGTTTTTACTGATTCTACTCTTCCGTTATATTTGTTTGTCAGGCTTTTCCGTTTATTATCTAGTCATCACCGCTTTGCATGATTATTTTTGTTACTAGAAATTTCATTTTTCGTTTGTCATTATGATTCGATGGCGGTTCTTCCTCTAATATTTCTTCATGAGGAAAATGTTCCTGTATAGTCAGTCATTGTATGATTTTGCCCAGCGCTACGTTACCCTGCTCGGCCTGCTACCGCTGCCAACGCTAGATACGCAAGAGATTGGGGGGGGGGGTGTATGTGTGGGTCCATTATGCTGACGAAGGTACTTAAAGCAGCAGTGAATGGTTGAGAGTGTGAAGAGGGGTGGAGCCTATTGGTTGCCTCGCTCAGTCTTCATTTGCCTCCCTTCCCACACAAGTGATATGATTGCACCGTGGTTGATTCTGCTAGTCGCCACAATGGTAGCCGTATCCGCTAGGTCACAGGTATGTGTCACACCATATGTACACTTGGCCCTGCACAACTAAGCGCTGCCCCGGTAAGCATCTTAGAAGAGCCCAGTGTGCGTGCCTCATTCAGGCCATAATTAGAATCCTCATCGCTGTGTCCTTAATTGCCATCAGTGTAGTACGTAGCTGTTCATTACTATTAATCTGATTGATATCCAATTGACATAACTCTCCCTTTTCCCGAGCTTAAGTGTGGCGAAACTGGGATTCGCCCCTATTGCTTGCATCGTCTTCAAACATGTTTGTGCTGTTTCTGATTCGTCCTCTTTCTCAACCATTCGTGTCACTTTTATCAATAAAATTCTATAAAACTTTATTTGTGGAACAATACAAAAACGCATTTTGAGGGGGCGACAACTCGCCAAGCACGGTTTTATGTTCGTTCATTGCCCTGGGCAGAAGGGAATAGTATGACGGTGCATGCAGTTAATATTGTTGCCTGGGGCGTCTTCTACTCAAAGATGTTCGTGAGAAATTTCGAGTTGTTTTGGATGTTTTCAACTGGTAATTCTTATGCTTTCCCTCGGGACCCTGTCAACTCGAAAACACCATCTACTGATCACTCACACCTCCCGCAGTCAATTGCCCGGATCTTTGCTTCCCAGAGAAAAAAACAATTTTTTTCACTGAAATTTCTGCTTCGGGTACCGTCCACGAATGACCTGACCTCAGGGTGGAGCATCATTGTGCGAAACAGATTGGAGGGTCGTACTTGGCCGCTAGGAGGGGGGCGTATTTGGTCGTTGTTGGGAGAGCGAGGGTCGTATGTGATTTTGAGAGGAATATGCCGCGTTGCGAAAAATTTCTCCTTGACTGTTGTTGACTTTTTGCTGTTTTTTTCGTTTCACATTCTCTATGTGTACCCCCTGCCCCTGCTCGATGGAAAATTTTCGGGTAGAAGGTGGCAAATTTTCGGGAAATTCCAGAAAAAAACTTGGTACGAATTGGGAACATGTAGGATAGTGGGTGGTAGGTAGGTTTCGGGAAAGGGGGGCAGTGCCGACAGAGAGGGTCTTACCTTTTTTCAGGAGGGACCTATTAGGGGGTCATAACTGAACACACCATTTCACACCATCGAAGGAGGCTTTAACGCCTGCGCCGTGCCTTGCCACTCAGAACGGCCCGCTCAGGGCACGTAAATCATGTGAGGCTTCTTATTTCAAGTAATTCGTATTTTCAAGAATTTTGGCTGCCATGGGTCTCAATATTGCCCCCCGCCCGACCCCCTCGCCGCAACCCCTCCCCACCCCTTCCGCCCCGCTAAAGAAACGAGTGCAAACGATTTCATGAGCGATGGTTGTTTCAGTCACGAGACTTCTCCGATCTGCAATGGTACGACTTGGGTGCAGCAAAAAGAGATGCCAGTTACTGGAACGATTGTGAGTTCAGCCCAATGAGCTGTTTGCTGAGACGAAGAAGGTCTGTACCCCGAACCCGAACTATACAATAACCATGAATAAACGTTTACATTGTTTATGTACGGTTTCAATTGATTGGCGTTTGAAGGGTTGAAAATATTATAAATATTGTGGTGGTCATTTTGACAGATCTGATTATAGCGTGAAATGGGTCGCTCTAACAGTGTAGTTCTTGTGCCATCCCATGCGAAGCATGACGTGATATGTTAAAGTTTCTCCTTAAAAATTATGCCCTTCCCCTTTGTTATCTTTCCCGCGTTCTTCAGGAGAACGGGGCGATCAGTGAGACCTCCCGATATTAAAAATAGTGCAAATAGTAGCGCGCGTTTGGAAGATATGTTGCGCTGCGCCCTAAAAACCGAGACAAATTAAAATCGAAAAACTTTCAGGTTTCTGAATGGAACCCCCTCCCTTTCCAATGATGTGGATTCATCAATCAAGTGTACACTCAGACCAGTGGTACGTTAAGGAATCCCCAGGGGGGGGGTCGTATTCGATCGGTGGGATGAGGGAGCCGTATCTGGTTCAAGTAAATTTATCTGATAGTCGATCTTTTATGTTTCGAGGACGCTGTAAGGGGATAGGGTTCGTATTTGCCTTTGAGAAATTTGCGGCGTTGGTTAACCATTTTTCGGTGGTTATTTTCTGTTCTACGGACTAGATACCCCCCCCCCCCTAAAAATACTGCCATCACACTTTCATGGTTGGGCACCATAGG